TGCCTACTCCTAGTTCTATTTACCTCCAGATTCTCCCTGGCTAATTTGCACCTGAAAAAAATGATTCCTAGAGAGGGGTATTTTTTAATCAAACGGAATGAATAAATAATTTAAATTTTAGGCATTAAAGGGAGTACAAAGGTTTATCAGCCCCATTCAAATCACAATGGTACTTCACCTTCAGTTGTGGTCTGTACTCTGGTTTATGTAGAAACACCCAGATAGCCTCTTTAAAATACTGAAAGTTGAGACCCTACTCACAGAGATTCTAATTTCCTTGGACTAGGTTCAGACCTGAACAAAGGTGTATTTTTAAAGCTCCCAGGCAATTCTGTTGTGCTGTCAGAGTTGGGAACCACTGATTTAAACCTAAATTGCCCCTGCTCTTGAGAAAAAGAAAAGCGGAATGCCATTTGAAGATCAAACCTTAAAGCAGGTGAGGGTGGAGGGACTGCGAGAATCATTGATAAAGTTAAAAATAGGCCCTGAAATCCCATAATAAGCAAGTGCTTGGCAGCACCAAAGGAAGAAGTTAATCTATGGCAAATTCAGTCTCTCATTCCCAAACCTCCAGGGCAAATGGCCTGGCACTGTTGGTCCTTAAACCTGCTTTCCAGAAGACAGCTCATGGGTATGACCTTAGATAAAATCTCTGAGCTAAGGAGCTAAGCCCTCAAATGGTTGTTGATGTACCTGAGTTAGTAGTTCTTCAGTAGATGAAACAATTTTACATAGAAGATAAATGATTTTTTTTCAAATGAGATTTGTGTTGCTTATTTATATTTTACTGAGCACTAAGGGTTCAGCATTTTTTATTAATTTGTCTTTTATATAAAGCAATTCCAGGATGGATAAAGGGTCAGTTCACATTATGTAACTGGATCATCTTTGCCTAAACTTTGGCCTCCCCAGTCATCTCATAGCAGCCCCTTGCTGTTGATAGCATAACAAAGCCCTTATTATGATATAATGTTTCTCATCTCATCACTGTTTTGTTGGCCTTTGCCATATTTCCCTGCTTCAAAAGTGGTCCTACATAAAAGTGAATAGAGAACATGGGCTACCTTTTACCCACAAGTTTTGTTGTTGTTTTTCTGGACTCAGTTTTAAACAAATACGGCTGCAGAAACATCTTTGGTATTCTGAGCAAGCAGTATCTCTTATTTTTATCAAAAATCTCATGGAGAACAAAGCTCCCAGGAGTGTCTGTCCTTTGACAAGCCCCTGCTCTGAGATATCTGGATAAGAATCAAGCACCCAGGGGAATTTCCTTGATCAAAACAGGGAAACAAGTTACACTCTGCCTTTTTAGAGAGATGCCTACAGAAATATGGGAATGGAATTTAGAAAAACTAGCCCTCATTGTATTTCTTCCTTTATGCATATATTTACCTTTATAAATACCTACACATTTATTTACTTGATTAAAACAAGGCCAATTATAACTATACCTTATTTGGCAGCATTGCAAAGTTTAATTACTGTTTCTAATTTATGCATTGAACTCACAAAATGAAAGATTCTAATATATGGAATATGTGGTTAGTGCCCAATCTGGTTTAGTCTGATAATGGTCATAATTGTATGGTGTCCTACACTGCTTGTCTACATTATTGTGGTTTCAGTAATTTCAGCCTTGAAAAATGTATTTTTATGTTGCGGATGTGTTTAGCATTGGGTGCATAGAATATACACTTATGTTTTAGCTAGCCTCAGTTAGTTGATTCTTGAAATAAATAATGTTTTACAAAGCAATGTAGGAGGGTTTTTCTTCCTTTAGATTGGTTCAAGGGGCCAAAGTTCTGGTCCTCACACATCATATAATATCTAAGTTGGTTTGTGCCATAAAATGTAAATATCAAATTAAAAAATCACTATTAAAATAACACACATATTAAGATGTGCTATTTATCGAGGACTAACCTGGCACAAAGTAAAATGAGGCTATAAAGTGTCAAAAGGAAGATTATTATTAATTACTAAGAAAAAATATTTTTTCCACAAAACTCACTTGAGGCTATTTCATAGAAAACTTAAATAGTAGGTTGGACTATTGGACCATTGAAATTAAACTAGAGCTCAAGAGCCAAGGATCTGTGCTTTCATAACTAACACACAACTCCAGAGAGTGAAGGATTTAGATAACCATGTCAGATTAGGAGCTATTATTACTAGAATGTAGTTGAATATTAACAGGCCTCAACTTATCCTTTATGTTACTTATAAAAGTTTATCTTTGTGTGGCAAACCAGTTTTCTTTTATCTTTATGTCCATTGCCTTTCAGTTGCACTAATATTTGTCATTTTAAAAATAGCTAGCACCTCCATACATCATTCTAAGGAATATAATTCATGAATTAGAACAGGACCCACTTTTTTGTTTTACAAAGTTCTTGGTTAAAATGCAAATTGTCCCAGTAGAGGTACTTTTAGGGCATTATCAGCTGATCCATCCATACACACATTTTAGGAATATAACTGCATGAATTAGAACAACCTTGTTCATAATCCCGAAAATTAACCAGCTAGTCCTCCATGACATTATTTTATTCTCATTCGGTGAAATATTCCATTCAATAAGTATTTACTCTGCATATACACATGTTCAGCATCCTGTGAAATGTGAGACATAATAAAGAAGGATTTAATATTTTCGGATACCTTCCTTGGTCTTAAGAGTTTACAGTCACATATTAGGCACTAAGAACCATTAAAAACAGACAGGAGTCTATCTTCCCCCTTTCAGGCCTCTATCTTCCTATTTTTGTGTGGCTCAGGAGCCTAAATTCCATAGAGCCTTGCTCTCAGCTGACTCATCAAACAACACAAAGCTGATAATGGCCCATTATGGTACCTTTTCTAGGAGGATTTGCATTTTAACTAAGGAATTTTCAAGACAAAAGCAAAGTGAAAATAAAAACAATCAAAAAGAATAAAGTGAGACTACGCAAACAAAGTTAGAAAATTTATTTATTCTTAGGGTTCTGATAGGTCTATCTCAAGTTACAGGATACAAAGTGCTTTTTAAAAAAGAAATTTTTTTTTCGTTAATCCTCACCCAAGAACATTTCTTTTTCCATTGATTTTTAGAGACAATGGAAGGGAGGGAGGGAAGGAGAGAGAAACTCTATGTCAGACTTTTCAATTGGTTGCCTCCTGCACACACCAGACCAGGGATCTAACCTGCAACCCAGGTACATGCCCTTGACCAGGAATCAAACCCAAGACTGAGGGCTGACTTTCTAACTACTGAGCCACACTGGCCAGGGAACAAACTGCTTTTGTTCCACCCACAATCCCGTCACTTCCCTGCTTTTAAAAGCCCAGCTTGCTTGCTGGTTTTCATGCTGTCCATTCCAGCCTACAGGGTAGACTCCAAAATTTTTGACTTTTTGTGCCAGGCACTCCTGAGCCTCACCTTCCTTACTTCCAACCAGACAAATCCTTCTTTCCAGCCCCACTACACATTCCATATTTCTATAAATAGTCAAGGCCTTCTCACAACTCCCTCCTTTGCCTGTTTTCCACCGCCTAAAATGCCTTTTATCTTCTTTCTCCTCTTGTCTCTTTGGAAACTCCCACTTTGAGACCCAGCATGAATGTCAGTTCTGTGAAACTCCATTACAAAATTCCCCCAAATTTCTTGTTTCACCTATTTCCACAGCACTTTGTACACCTGTTAGAGTTGTATATGGAAATTAGTTTTGAAATTCTCTTACCTCACTGGCAGGGCCTGACATAGTTTCTGGCATATAAAGTCTTTCAATACATGCTTGTTGAATGTTTCTCCAGTTAGAATAATCAACAGGTTGGCAAATTTAGCTTTATTTGACATTGTGTTCTCTGCCCCCTAATGTTCTCAGGTTAAATAAAAACTCCCAGCAGGGAAATTTACAAGGTTTATAATTTAACAAAATTTAGAGGTTTGTTCTTATGAGTAATCAAAACTTTGGGTCGTAGAATACAATGATAGAAAACACTGTTTTAATATTTTTTAACAAATATTCTCCTAAAATTTCTTCTTTTGGACAATGTATATGAGCTGAGATTTAGTAAATTTAAGTGACTTTGTTTAGTCTTTAAACTCTCGGGTTAATGACTGATGGGGTCGGGTTGGTCCTGGGAATTGTGGTGTGTATGTATCTGTGGGGGGTGATGTGGTGTGTATGTGTGTGGGGGGTGATGTTAGTTACCTTCCTGTTTTTCAGCTTTAGAATGCACCTTTAACTTTGGCTTGCCATCTTATGTTCTTGGTAGGAAGGGAAAAAGGTTTACAGCGACATATCTGAGAAAGATATAAAAACTCAGGTCCTATTCAGTATTGAGTCATTAGTGTCCTTGACATAAGCGAAACAATTCACAACTCAACCAAATCAAAAACTCCTTTTCTTGCTATCTAAACTGTTTTCTCATTCCTGTCCTGACATTCCTCCCTAGCAGCAAACATAGTGACATGTTTTTATCCACTTAGGCTTACTCCTTCCCGTGCCTTGCAACTCCTCCTTATTCCTTTATCTCTTTCAAAGTTTCCATTCTCCCTTCCCTGACTCGTTACTTCCTCCCTTTCTCCA